TTGCAATGATAATATTGATATCACTTAAACTATAAAAGACACATGTCGTACATGATTTTCCCATAAGGTAACTCGATAACAGATCTTTGCATCTTTATATTTTTTGTTTTGTGCACTACCTGGGAGGTATGTACTACGATAAGGAGCAAACAGTTAATCAGTGCTAACATCAAATTTTGAATAATTTTTTGATAGATAATTTGAGGTTTTGTACTGAAATATATCATAGTATTAGAAATATAATTAATTAAAATTGGCTAACGAAATCCAGCAACTAGCGAGATATCGCAAGACTTGATCCTTTTAGTATATATACAATGTACATACATGTAGGTCCCTGGAACTCCATTTTGCTGGGAGGGACACTTTTATAACAACTATACCTTAAATAATTTAAAAAGATTAATAAAGCAAATTAATTTCGAATCAATAAAGGAGAAAAATCTGCATATTAAACCGAAGGCGGACCTTTTATTATAGAGGCAGGCCGGACCTTATATGTTATCGTATTAGGTCCCCCCGGACCTTTAAACGAGACGGACCAAATATTATGCGACACCGGGCGTAAGCTTAGTCCGGACTAAGTCAGTGACTAAACCCAAAAATCAGACTAAGCAACGTTTCACAAAAAGGCGCAGACTTAGTCGAGACTAAAGTTAAGCTTAAATCTACGCCTGCTTATGAGTAGGCGTAAGTTCTTAGTCGGTACACAACTTGAAAAAAGTGGCAAGTGTTTTGGTCATAAAGAGATAACAGAATAATTATTTTGTACGTGTACGATATAATATCTAATCATGTACATATATGATGTGCGAAAAACCGTGAAATTTTCAATTATTATGTAGGTAAATAGAAAGGTATTAAAAATCCAGCGAGGATGCAGACTTTTTTCCGTAAAAGGGTTTGATGAGTTAGAAATTTATAAGTAAGAATTTTGAATTGTGAAACTGGATAAGAAGTGCCCGAGTTTTAAAAAAAAGAGCAGGCACGCGTAGTATGGGGAGGGGGGCTGCAACCCTCCCGCTTTTTCAGTAATGGTGTTTTCTGTTAAAAATTAAGTTGTAATTTAGGCTGACCTACACTTTCAGTTTTTGTTTTCATGTACTGTCAAAGATTGCTGAATATTTTGGTTACTCAATTACCTACCCCCCCCCCCCACACACACACACACACACTGGGTCCCTGATAATTTTTAATTTTTGAAATGGATATTTTTTTTTTAAACTCCTCAAACAATATACATTTAGATATACCTTTTACCTTAATTTCCCCTTTTATCAAATATACAATTTATAGAACAGAAAAATATGAATTTGTAAAATGTTCCAGTAATTAATTATCTTGTCCGTAATACTGTTTTTTCCTATTTCAAAGTATAAACTGTCATGGCGTTTAAGATGTGCAAATGGGTCTATCATTTTTTTTTTAAATAGGTACTTGTTTTTAATTTATTTACAATCTATCATACTTTTCTCAGACGAATTTTGTTTGAGAGTGTCTTTTGATTGATTTATCAGATAAACACTTTATATTACATGCATTTGAAAAGAAAGTGGTAAATGTATTAAAAAAATTTATTGTAAATGAGAAATAGAGTTTCAAATTTGCTCTCATTTAATGCATTATACTCATAAAACATATCAAGAAGAAATTTTGCTTATCTAAAAGTATTTATGAATATGAAAATCATGACTTGTTAATATTTTTAAATCTAGATAAAATCTTCAAGAAATATTCAGCATCTATAAAAGAAATATTATATGATCATATTCTTAATGGAAATTGAAATTACTAGATTTAAAAGAAAAAGATGGTGATGTTGAAATTTATATCTTTCCCGATCTAAATAAATCAGATCCCGACTGGAAATATGTTAAATGAAAATATTTCAAATTGCTTGCCTGTAACATGGATAACAAGAAATTGATTAAAAACTAATTGAGCTTTTGCAAACCTTTATTGAGAATGCGTGTGCTAATGGAAATGTTGTATATATGCGTGTTTTTACATGGACTGTGTAAATTATCATATCGATATCAATGTTATACTGTATGTCCAAAGCGTTATACATGTAATACATGTATGAGCTTGAATGCCAAGAAATCTAATTCAGTTAGAATTGATTATTCTGTTATGAAATTATAAATTCAATACAACTGATAAATTTTCAAAAATCTCTTATCCATATTTTAATTATATATGATTTCATAATTGTTAATTTTCCACAGGTCCGTAGAACGCGGTGGGGCCAGGGTGCCCCGGCCCTCCGGGCACTTTTTCTGAGTGTAGTATTTTGCTATATTAAATTTTCCTTGAGATGCTGCAGGTTGCCCCCCCCCCCCCCACACACACACTTTTTGTCGCTGTAAGGCCGAGCACTGACAATTTCCATAATTCCATGACTTGGATAGTTGATTAGCTTTTTGACTTGGCAAATTACATGACTTGGACAGTTAATTAGGTTTTTGACTTGGAAAGTTAATGAAGTATTTTTGGTCACATTAATTTGGGAAGTTGACACCCCCCCCCCCCCCAACTCCCACTTTATGGTAGTTTAGTTTTCAGATTTTTTGGGAGGATTTTTTTTTTGCCACTACCTTATGTGTATTTATTCATTTTTATGTAAAACATAAGTGAAAAGACAATTTGACTTATTTTCAAAGAAAAATTACTTCAGTAAAATTCTTCATGCTTAATGTATTCCAATTTTTTGCAAGTACATATGCTATGTACATTCGTTTGGGTTTTAATGTACGAATTTATATCGAAATATCACATCTTGAGTACGTGCCTTTTATGTTTTTCAAATGTAATTTGTACCTATATAGATATTTAAAATTTATCTGAGCATACAAAAATATTTATTTAAATTTAATTCTTTGACCTTGAAAATACAGATAGGTTTGCGTAATATATCTGTTTGAAAGATGTTGAAGAGAGAAAACATGCACGCGCACTCATGCTTTCCGTGCCTTACTTCTGTATTTAGGTTTAAGTTTGATATTAATTTGATCTGCCACATGTAATTGTAGTCACTAAACCAAATAAAATACGATCTGCGCATGCTTAGTACTTAGCGGAGAAGTGTTAATCTTAGGCCTAGTCTTACACCGCTTTCTGAAACGCGATTTAGGCCCGTCTAAATTTTGGCGTAACTTAGTCGGACTAACTTAGGCCCAGATCTACGACTTTTTGAGAAACGAGCCCCAGGAGTTGTGTAGCGTAGTGATTGGCGTGTTAGTCTCAAAGGAAAATGATACTCAGGATATTTCATAAATTTCAATGATTAAAACTTTACTCTTAATACTAAATTCACACATTGAATATGCTTTTTATATATCTGAAGCTATAGGCATTCTGCAAGCCTTGTTCACCAATCTTATCATACCCACAAACTTAAAGAAAGGTCGGGTATATTGTGGTTATCCCGGTCCGTCCCTCTTTCATTTTAAGCCTTGTGATCTGTAAATCTTCAATAATTCTGAATTTTTATTTTTTACCAGGCGGTCAAATTGGGGTCAAAAGTGATGGTGTGTGTGTGTGTGTGTTTAATCTGGTTCCCAGAACTCCTTTTACATTTACATGTAGATCTTATGCAATAACCTAATCATCTTTTAAAATTTAATTTGGTGTGTCCTGGAGATATTCAATAAGGTTTCAGTTTTCGTTTTTATCCGGGGAACCAACTTGGGGGTGAAAAAACGTTTGGATCTACAAAAACCTTGTTCCTAGAACGCCTTTCACATTTTATGCAGTTCTGTAACATCATTGGTTGTGTCCTCTAGATAAGGTCCCAGAACTTTTATTTTCATCTAGAAGGCCAGTCGGGGAATGAAATCTTTCACACACCCACAAACACTTCTTTCCAAAAAAAATATTGGCAAGAATAAAATTACATATTCCGCTTACTTGTTATACATGTATATTTTTTCAGAAATGTTGCAACCTTTTTCTCGAGTATAAAAAAATTACAAAAAAATGAAAAATAAAAAAAAAATCATTGTTTAACAAAAGTTACGCTTCTCGACATTTTTAAAGGGACATCACATAGGATTCATCAGAAAGGTTTGAAAATCTTTAATATCGTAGCAAAAAACATTGCAGAGAAATATTTTTTGTACAAACTCATTAGGGGCAGACTGTTTGATCCTTAAAGGGGGGGGGGGGCTGACAGATTTTGGAAATAAAAAAACTCTGTCCTCGAAAATATTTAAATAAAAAATCTACCATTAATTAGAGTGTTGGAGTTCGGACCCCCCCCCCCTTCCCCCCACCCTCTCTTTTGCTCACCTGAGCTGAAAGCTCCTGAGCTTTTCTGAGCAACTGCTGTCCGGCGTTCTGTAAACTCATCATATTTTCGACAACTCAAGAACCGCTGGGCCAAATTTTACTAAAGTTGACACAAAGCATCCTTGAAGAAAGGGAATTCTAAATTATGCAATTGAATGGCTGAGCCCCCTTCAAAGAGGAGATAATCAAGAAAAGACCAAAATAGGTTGGAATCTTTAAAGAATTTATATTTAAAGAATCCATAGGTAGTGTAGATTCTGCTGTTTATAACATAGCTCTCAGGGATAAAGTGGGCTCACAATAGGGGATCAACGTTGTATATTGGACTTTGTCGGGAAAAATGTTTTTAAAAAATCCAAAAACTACAAGTTTTAACTTAAAAACACTCTGAACTTGTGTGGATTCATTTTTTTTCAAATTATGGACCTTGGGTTAAAGTTGGCTAAAATAAAATTAAGATTAAAATCATCATAAAATTCTACTCCAAGGTCATGTTAGTCATATTGAAGCATCCCCAAGCTGTGTGGATCCAGAAACCTCTAGAATATAGGGTGGGTCATAAAAACTAGTAATATGGGTCACAATTTTCTTGGGAATATGTCTCTCTCTCTCTTTTTAAATCTTCTGAAGAACAGTTACTGTAGCTCCTAAAGTTAACTCAATTGCATGAGCATTGTGATGCATGGTCCTGTTTTGTTTTCTTTCTTAAAAAACTTTTTTCGGTGAAAAAAATAATCTGTCCTTGGTCGTCTGAAAATAAATAATCTGTCCTTGACTGGCATGACAATGAATAATCTGACTCAAAAAAATTGCCCCCCCCCCTTCTGAATCCAATGGTCGTCCCCTTAGCAATGATTGATGACGATGGGAAAAGAAGAAAAGAATAATTTTGGATTTCCCATCGTAGACACCAAATGAATACTAAGTTTAGTAGCGCATAACACTGATAATTGTAATTTTTATATCTTTTTCCAGTCCAGTGTATACATATCATCACGTTTCTGCTTTCCAATAGAAATCTGTTCCCTCACCTCGTTCACGTATGCTGGATCAATAACAGCAAACAGAACAGTCTCTTCGTCTTCTGTTGTTGCTATAACTTGTCCCCAAGGGTTAATAACACTGCTGTGGCCCCAGGCCACATAACTAGCCCCTGTGTCACGAGCTGGAGAAACCGTGGCAACATATAGTTGGTTATCTAGTGCACGTCCTCTCTGCAATAACTCCCAGTGAGCGGGACCAGTTGTCATATTGAAAGCACCAGGATACACCAATAGTTTGCAATTCTCTTTTGCATAGACCTGTGCCAGCTCTGGAAATCTTATATCATAGCAAATCCCAACCCCTACTTTGCAGTAAGGTGTATCGAACATCGTAAAACTGTTTCCAGGGCTCAAAGTCTCGGATTCTTGGAATCTGATTTTTCCAGGAACATCGATGTCAAATAAATGGATCTTCCTGTGTTTGGCAATTATTTCGCCTTTGGGATCAAATACACAGCAAGTATTGAACAGTTTTCCATTTTCTTCCTCCGGAATGGATCCACCGATTAGATAGATTTCATTATCCTTTGCCATGCTTGCCAAAGAATGAGAAGAGGTTCCTGGAATTTTTTCGGCATATTCCGGAAAATAAGAAGTTCCATACGGCGAGTTAAAGCACTCTGGAAGAGATACAAGTTTAGCTCCTTCCTTTGCTGCATGTGAGACTAATTGTGATGCCCGTTTTAAGTTATCAGCTTTTGTTGCAGATACCGCAAGTTGTATCAAAGCAATTTTGAACGACATTATTTTTAGAGTGACCTCCCTTTATGCTTTCATGGATTGGAT